TGGTTCAATTTTTGTCCCCCGCCTTTCGAAGAAAGCAGGGGACTATTAAAATGGGTTCGTCCGTCTGTCTGTCCGTCACACTTTTTGGGACACAATAACTATCTTTCTAATTAAGCTAGAATGTTGAAACTTGGTGTAGGTGTTTATTAGGTCAATGCCTTGATGGAGTTCGAAGACCTGCTTAGGGTAAGCAGAGATAAGAAATTTGATTGGTTGATGCTTTGGGACACGATAACTTTAGTTCTAATTAAGTGAGAGTGATGAACATTGGTGTATAGTTCCATTACATCAATACCTTGACTAAGTTAGATAATCAGCATTTTCTGCTCAGGGTAAGCAGGGTGATAAGCAATTTCATTGGTCGAGACTTTGGAACACAATAACTCTCTTTCTAATAGAGCTAGAATGTTCACACTTGGCGTAGGTGTTCATTAGGTCAATGCCTTGATGGAATTCGAAGATGACAATTTCTGCTGAGGTAAGCAGAGATAAGCAATTTGATTGGTTGATGCTTTGGGACACGATGACTTTAGCTGTGATAAAGTGAGAGTGATGAAACTTGGTGTATAGTTTTATTACATCAATACCTTGACAAAGTTCGATAATGAACATTTTCTGCTGAGGGTAAGCAGGGCGACAAGCAATTTGATTGGTCGAGATTTGGAACATAACTCTGCTTCTAATTGTGGTAGAATGTTCAAACTTGGCGTAGGCGTTCATTAGGTGAAGCCTTGATGGAGTTCGAGGATGAACATTTCGGGCTAAAGCTAAGCAGAGCTAAGCAATTTCATTGGTCGATGCTTTCGGACAAGATAACTTTGATTCTATCTTATAGAGACTGATAAAACTTAGTGTATAGTTGTAATCAGTTTGATTGCTTAATACTTTTGAAAAAAAAGATGTGCGATTAATTAATATGTATCATCTTTTTATTTTGGCATTTCGGCGCGGCGGACGACATCAGCCTCACTGTTGGCTTGTGTATTTTAACATTCGCTTGTGCGTAGGGGTCTTTAGCAGTGGGGGGAAACCGGAGGACCGGAGAAAACCCACGAGGTTGGACAGGCGACCCTACTCCTTGTCACGTACAACCGGGGAATCGAAACCTCGGCAATTAACTCAATGACAGACCTTATGATATAGTGTCAATGAAATGATAAGCTATATGTAGTTTTTTCAAAAGTGATGATGAATTGAACAGTTGGAATTGTCTTTGGAAGTGTTTCTAAAGGAACGGTTTTTTAAAATTTCAAGGAAAGTGTCTTTGGAAGTGTTTCTAAAGTTTGTTTAAACACTTGAAGGGAAGTATCTTTTGAAGTGTCCCTTAAGTGAACACTTCACATGAAGTGTTCTTTGCAGCGGATTTGATGTGAACACTCCCGAAGAAATGTACACTTGTAATGAACAAATAAAATATATCATTCAGAACAATGTAGAAGTAATTAGTAAAGGCTTATTCACAAACTACAAAATAACAAAAACAAAAACGTGTAAAATGGTCTAGGCAGTCGTAAATGACTGTCGTTCATTTAGAACTGTTCACGTATTTCACCAAATTCAAATTTTAAATATAAATCACTTTACATACATTCATATTACATTAGCATTTGATTTTAGAACCCTGTTCGTGTATTTAGAAGTTCCAAAAATAGAGCTATGCGCCCTTTAGAACTTATTATCAACGAATACAACAGAGCAAGTTTTAAAAACAAAACAGCACTAAACAAAAATGTTCCATTCAGAAATGTTCAATTCGAGGGTGTTCTTTATCATGCCCAAATGTACTATTTCACAAAGCTTTAAACCATTCCATCAACAAGTGTATGCCGCATGTCCAAAGGAACTATTTCACCTAGGTTAAAGCCATTCAGTCAACATTTTTGTCCTGAATAACGCTCACAGCATTTTATAAATGTGAACATCACGAAGAAAAAAACACTGCGATTTTCGATTGAAAATGTTAAATTTCGATAGCGGTTTACGTGGCTAACAAATATTCTGTTTTATTCACATCGTTGGGATCATGACTCTGCTGTTGGCAGTAAGCACTAAAGGTAGATGACTCCAAGTATCTTGACTTACATAAGGCCACAGATCACCAATGATTTCCTCATTGACTTTAATCTTAATTCTCGTTACTTAGACCAAGTCTTTCCAAAATTTACTGGAAGCAAAGACCATAAACATGTAATTTTCCGCTCTACATTTCAACTCTCATATCCTTCCGCCTCAAAATCATGAATATTCACCAAAACCTGGCAGAAAATGTATTTTCAAACCCTTTTCTTCGATTCTACACCAAAAAGTCAATGAAAATTGCCATGCAAAAGGGGGGAAAGGCAAAGAGACGGCGCAGGAATATTTGGTGGGCCGTGTCCATAAGCTGGTGCCAGATTTCCTTATGAAATATCACGGAAGATAACATATTTTAAAAGTTAAATACATTTCAAAAACAAACATCAATGTCAATAGATAACACCAATGTCTAATTCAGAAGGCAGTTGATAAACACCAGTTAGAACCATTTAAATATGGTCGTATTGCAGAAATGACTTCACTACTATACGTAAAGTCATATCTATGCCCCCAAATAACCATATATGTCGCTAAAACCTTAACAACAAATATAGATTCACATGCATAAAAAGAAAGATAAAAGGTGAAACAATTTCTTTAAGCAAAAGTCTCCATAGGATCTATTTTGACCTTAAGACACATATACAACAACAACTCAAACCTATAATATTTTTATAATGCATATTGTTCCTAATAAAAGAAAATTCTATGTGTTGTTTAGTTACTAATGTCTACGTAAGACGTAACAGGACAATTCTCCAAAAGCCCTTAATTCGCGTTCTTGGAATCTAACTGGGTCCCTCCTAATATTTCTGTAATGTTGTTCCTAAATAAAGAATATTTCAGGTGTTGCTTAATTATTAATTTTTACATAATATATAACAATGTAAGAGGACTAATTCCCTGAAACCCCTTAATTCGCGCTCTATCCATCTAACTTGCCCCTCCCAGTGATCAATTTGATGGCAGTGTGAAGTTGGATCGTTTTTCGTTATTCGAAATTCACGAATAACGAGGTAGATCACCTTTTTATTCGTGATTCAAATATGCAGCTATCCATGACTAGAATGATGGATGCAAAGTATCCCCAAGCAGCAAAAAACGCAGCAAAACGACCTCTAGACAAAAAACAGCCCAAATTGTTATTCAAGCAGCGAATAACGAGCTGTTTGTTATTCGTTTTTCACCTCTTTATTCGAAATTCACATATAAGGTGTATCTTTAATGAGAATATTTCAGGATTTAATTCAAAACGATCACTAGATAAAAATAGAATAATGGATTGCAAAATATCCCCTAGCAGTAGAAAACTCATTAAATGCCGGAGAGTCGGTAAATAAACCAGATTGTTATTCAGATATGCAGCTAGCCATGACTAGAATGATGGATGTCAAGTATCCCCCAGTAGTATAAAAGACTGCAAAACGACTTCTAGACGACAAACAGTTCACATTGTTATTCAAGCTGCGAATAACGAGCTGTTTGTTATTCGTTTTCCACCACGTTATTCGTTACTGCATGTGTTCAACTAGACATCAGTTACATACCTATGAACACTATATGTATGTTCTTTGGAAAGCGGACATCGTTAATAAAATGATGCTGTGCTTATTGTTGGTTTAAACAGTATTGATTTCGAAAATAATGTACAATTTAAAGACGTAAACAATAGTATACAACAACAGGCCAAGTACTGTGGGTGGGGTGTGTAATATATTGTATTAAGGTATTAAACTATCCGTGTAAGTAAATAAGAATTTGCAAACCAAGGGCCAAACAGTATCTGGAAAGCTGACAGAGGGGTTAAATAAGCTTAAATAGGTCATCACAAAACGGCAAGGACGAGCCGCCGTCGGGATTATTCACACTACCATACAAATGAAATTAACAAAATTTTCTATAAATTCTTTTATATATGACCGCTGGCAACGGTCTTGGGATCTTGCAGACACAAAAAAACTTCATCACATTAAACCTCTCATAGGAGACTGGCTAAACTCCTATAAACCCAACAGGAGGGATGAAGTTGTTTTGTGTCGCTCTCGTATTGGTCATACTTTTTTAACTCACATTTTCATTTTGAAGCGAGAGCCGCAACCAGAATGTGTTCACTGTCATGTTCCTTTGACAGTTAAGCAAATTTTGATTGAGTGCAATCATCTCAAGAATGTAAGATCAAACTATTACCGTTGCCAGTCACTACATCAATTATTTGCTCAACCGGAGCTGTATGGAAAATTGTTAAACTTTTTAAAAGAGACAAACTTTTATTACAAATTTTAATTGTATATATATATCCGTATTTTTGTTTTTAATTATTTATATACATAAAGGACTTATATTTATTTATATTTATTTTTAACAACATTGTCTGTGATACTTGTTTTTATTTATGTATATAAATATATTTATGTGATATTGATTTAATTTGTCTCGTCAAAGTCACCATGTGTTTGGCACCATATAGCCCGGTTGGAGCTGACGTGCCATAAAACTCCATTTCATTTCATTTCATTTGTTTCTTTTAAGCCGCTTTAACAGCTGGTAACACGCATAAATTATTATTTATTGTGGTTTTGTCGTGGATATTAATATATTGATGTTTTCGGTAATACAATGAATTAATATAATAAAGAAAAACAACAATCGTTCCTTTTCTATATTAGTGCCTTTTGTCAAAATAACAAATTGTCATATAGATATCAAAAAGTTATTTCTAAGTCGATAAAATTGACTTTTTTCCGGTTCATTCAGTTTGATAAGTTATTTCGTCTGTAACTGAAATGTTTAAACCACGTGAGCAGAGGCTGAATTTCAAGCTGTTCCTGGTTTCTTGTCCAATGAAATAAATCTGATTTCAAATAATCGGGCCATGGTAATATTAAATTCATATATTCAACCTTTCAACTGTATAGACTGAATGGATTAAATCGCTGACAACATATCTATTTTCTGTCTGTTTTATATGACTTAGAATAATGGCTTCAAGTCGAAACAAATCAAATTATTTAGTAGGTGGTATGATTCTACTTGTAATTTTAGTTTGGTTTTTTTATTATCCAGTTCCATCAACACAATCAGTTAACAAATCACTGACCGCCAGCTTCGAGAACTTGCCGGAAACTATAAAATCTGCTTTTAATCGAAATGTTGACCAAATTGTTTCCAAAGACACGGTACCAAATTCAAAAGCTTATTCGGATACTAAATCCCTGGATCATTCATCTCCTATAATACCTGTATATATTGTAGAGGAGCACCACGAAGGTAAATTCTTTGTTTGCATTTCTTCACTCTTTGTATATCTCTACCTTACGTGATTTGAGGAGGACTGCCAAATTTTGATTTAATTTGTAGGCGTCACACGGGCGATCCTGAAATTTCGAGCGCTGATAGCATTCGACAGATCATTGATCTGCACAGTGTTCACAGGGCATTGTAAATTGACTGGCGACAATGGGGTGCCGCAGTGGCTCGGAGGTCCGTGTTCCATCCTGGTGATGACCGAGAAAGTTCATCTGGATTTTCCGACGGGGTCCCCCCTTGTCAGTGGTGCATTAATCTTTTATTGGTTCAAGACTACCAAAGAGAGAATGATACACACCCGCGGAAACGTTTTGAGGCAGAACGTAGGGCTTGACAAGGGACAACGTAGTCATTCGGATGGCACGTAAAAGACCCTAGACAGATGGAGTTCGTTGTAAAAGTAGCCGCCGACTGTACTATAATAAATAAATAAATTTGAGGTATAAGCTGGTTTTGTATATAATCCAGTGCCTTAAGGACAAAGCTGGTTTTAAAAGCTGATCAATTCGCATGAATATTGTCTGTCAGTCACACTTTTGAGACACAATAACTCTTCTTCTTATTGACCTAGAATGTTCAAACTTGATGTTGGTGTTTATTAGGTCGATGCCTTGATGGAGTTCGAAGATGAGATTTTTTCTGCTTAGGGTAAGTTCTGATTAAGTGAGAGTGATCAGACTTGGTGTATAGTTTCATTATATCACTACCTTGACTAAGTTCGATAATGAATATTTTCTGCTCAGGGTAAACAGAGCAATAAGCAATTTGATTGGTCGAGACTTTGGAACATAATGACTCTCCTTCTAATTGAGCAACGATGTTCACAAAGGGTGTATATGTTTATTCGGTGAATGCCTTGATGGAGTTCGATGATGAACATTGTCTGCTAACGGTAAGCATAGATAAGCAATTTGATTGGTTGATGCTTTTGGACACGATAACTTTGTTATAACCAAGTGAGAGCCATAACACTCCCGAGTATAGATTCATTATATCATTACCATGACTAAGTTTGATGAGAGTTGTCTGCTTACGCTAAGGAGCGATAAGCAATTTGATTAGTCAAGACTTTCATTCTATCTGATAGAGAGTGATGAAACTTGGGGTATCAGTTTGCTCGATACTTTTGAAAAAGATAAACACTCAATAAATTAATGTGTGTCATCTATTTATTTCGGGATTTCGGCGGGGGACATCAGTCTCACTGTTGGCTGTTGGCTTGTTCAAATCATTACGTTAACTTTAAACGTCCATAGTTCCAGAACTGAGCGCCCTATCAATAATAAAACGGCCATGTATGTTCATAATTGACTGTACGATTTTGACACTTCCATGGCTTTATATGGTCTCTAAATAGAAGGCGGTGAGATTATCGCTAATGTACATCCAGAGGCGAGTGTTCTTCGCCAGCGTCATACGGACGTAATCCAGCAAAATTTTATGACTAATATCTGAAACTTCCAATAGGGGATTACAAGAGTTGAAGTTTCAAGTGAAACTAGTAGTAATCAACTCACATAAGGAAATGGTCCATCACAATTGAAAGTAAAGTCATCACGAAGGCCTATATTTTCGAACAGTGTCTAAAATAATATGTGATTAGGTCTAATCAGTAACTAGGTAGTTAGGGATTAGTGGTTGACCAAGTTTGGTATTCTCAAAACTCAAGAGTAGCTAATCTTTGACAAGTTCATCAACGATTAAAATTATTTTTTAAAACATGATCATATTTTTTTTTGTCATTGATGACAGGGGTCTAGTTGCAGGAAGTAGATTAGAAAAGTACACAGACCAGTGTTTCCAAACCTGGGGTTTGCGAAGTCAAAGGAATCAGTAAAGGGTAAACCGGACAAAAGGCCAAGACAATTAGAGTATGAAATTGTTAGTATTCGGATTTGGGTCTGCTGAGATTTGTACACTGTCCTAGGGGGTCCCTGAGTGGTAAAGACTTTGATTACCATCTGTTTCATAGAAGACTCTCTAGTATATTGTTTCTAAAATGGTCGCTGAAATGATTATGACAGACTTAAATAAATGCGTACTTTTGTGTACCATATATATAAGTGATTTATCTGTGTGTTGTGTGTGTCGGAATAGGTGTGGATGTGTAGATACCTTGGTTGGGTTTGTGGGTGTGTGATAATGTCTGTGGCTTTAGTTCCTTCTTGTGCTAAGAGGTTGACTTGTACCTTTGTAATTGCTTTGGTTAAAAAGTTATTTAACATTTATACAATTTAGATGTATCTTGTAATGAAATATAAATACTTAAAATACGTGGTATTATTTTACATGTACAAATATTAGAGAGACGGTATATTTTAGAAATCTTTTCAAACAAATTTTACGGTGAATGTGAATTTGTTGCTTACAGTCGTTTGATAGAGAAACGCCATCTAATGATTTATTACCAAAATATAAAATTGGGACGTTCGTGAAGTTTTGCTGAAATACAATACTTTTATTTTAGAAGGGTTTAGTTGAAATAAGTCAGCGTTTAAGGGCGTTTCTATTTCATATACACGAGATTCTGGTATATCGTTGGTGTACACAAGAAATAAGAATGGACCCAATACAGAGCCCTTGGTAACCCAAGAATTAAGCGGTAGAGTCGACAAGTAAGCGTTATTTACAAAACAGTTTGACTCCTATCGTTTATATAACTGTTAAGCCACTGGAGAAATGTACCGTGTAAACCGTAACTAGACAGTTTGTTTAGTAAGCCAATGTGATTCACTCTATCAAATACTTTAGAGATGTCACAAAACATGAAATATGAACTTACGTCATTTTTTAACGACTGCAGTATGCTATCTCATATAATTCAATGAGTTGGTGTACAGTCGAAAATTTAGGTCTAAAGCCAGACTGATAGGAATTCAGTAAATTAATAAAATGAAAATAATTTTAGATATTTTTCAAAACTAATTTACTGATAGCACTTACCAACGATAAGGGTCGATAATTAGCAACATCGGACTTGTCACCTTTTTTGAATAGTGGCATGACATTAGCTTGTTTACTTATCTTTGGGGATATTCCTTCTTGTAAAGATTTATTGAATAGTGCATATAAGGGGACAGAAATACTTTTTGCTAGATGCTTTAAGAGGGGATTAATTATTCTATCAGGGTCGTTTGCTTTTTTAATATTAAGAATTAAAATTAAGTCAGTTATTTCAGAATTTTGTATCCCAGGCATTTTAAATCTAGGCGGTTCATTGTTGGATACGGATATAAAAACGAATTTAGTAATTCAGCCTTTTTGTAGTCAGTGTATGCAACCTTAGCATCCGTATTTGATATTAAAGTCGGTATAACATTTTGCCCTAATACGTTTTTAGTTATACAGTTATTTCTGCATGTAGGGCATAGTCTTTTACCAGAAGAAGGCTGAAACGTATCTGATAAACTTTTAGGCTGCTCCAACTTTTCTTTGTTACTTTCAAGAGTGGCATATCGACGGTCGGTTGAATGCAGAACACCAAACACTAAAAGAACAAAAGCTGCCGAAGAATGCATTGGGATGTTATATAACTAGTTCATAAAGAAAATGACGTGTTGAATGCTGTAAACGGGAGAAATTATTGTCTGAAAAATTCCTAAACCATAACCCACCTAGAATGCTCCATAATTTTTATTAGTGGCCTAGCCCGACTAATACCCCAACTACAGTGCACCACAGGTCTTATGCGGGATCATTTGTGATCCATGACCAACCTAGTGCGTCCCATTGTATTTCTCAGGATGCTAGCGCGACCCATTACCCACCTAGGGTAACAATTTTTATGTGTGGCCTAGGGATTTTACCGTTGTTACGGTAATTACTGTTCTTTTTGTGGTATTTAGAGTTTTTCTGTACTTGGTATCAAATTTTCGGAGTTTTTCCGTTATATAGTACACCAGAAGCTGCTGTCGGCAATTTTACCTCATAGCACACTGTATGACGTATGTCCGTCTTCATTAGCCCAGCCAGTGCAGCGCAGTAGGCCGTTAAACCCATTTTATTTTCATTTCTGACCATAATGTACTCCCACATTATGGGTGTATAAAACTTTCTTTATAAACCTCGAAAACGAATATTTTAAGAGTTTGAAATCAATTCCAGTCGCATTACAAGACTGACAATCAATCAACACAAAGGAATTTTAATTGAATATTTGACCTCTTGAACGCATATGTTCATTTTCAAGCTATGAATGGGCTCAATTACCATTTAACAGAATTGCAGTCAATAGAAATTTACACCATTACGGTGATAGTGAATTTTATTTTTAAAACATTTCTTCTCGTTTTCAGTAATCCCTTATTGGTTCAAGGCTGCTAAAGAGGGGAAGCTACCTACCCGTGGAAACGTTTTGGTAAATGACCGATTTTCATATTGGTATATTGTCACAATATTACATTAAACAACATCATCTTATATCAAATAGATACACCTCTATGAAACACCACCATGTAATATGAATAAAATATATAGTATCACTAATCATTATGACCAATCAAACTCAATGTTCGCTCGATACTTCTTCTCATTTAAGAGATTCACGTATCGACCATTTATGATTTACATGTAATCAAACCAATTAATCAGGTATACGAATCATCCTAATTAATATCTGGGTAATTTTGGTTAATTCAATATTTTGTTGACATAATAATGAATGCGGTGGTTGTTTATTGATAGAAAATTAATGCAAGAATTATTTTTAATTAGTCATAGCATGGAGATTACCAAGAGGTTTCAATTGACAACAAGTGAATAATATTAAAATGTACATGAGCGAAATATCTACTTAATTACAAACTGGCACATGGTTTTGAATTCATCTGATATCATTGCTGCTAGAGGCGATAGAATGGATGCGTCGGTTTTAGTTTTTGGTTAGACATATATGCCAAATTAGACATATATGCGAAAACTTTAAATATTTTTATGCAAGGGTATATGATAATTTGGTGGTTGTATCATAGCATAATTTCTTAAAATAAATTCAATTATTAAACAACAGTCGGCATTTATGAGATCAGTTTAAATTTAAATTTCTATTGATACCGTTTGCGTTCAAAATATTACTATTTGACACCGAATTTAGACATTAAATATTTAATAACGTTGTTGACGCCAGAACTACCAAAGGGAGTTTTAAATACGTATAAACAAGTTAGAACTTGTGATTTGTCGGAAATTATTATCTAAGACGCAGGAAACGGTGGTAGTCGAGCCTGCATGACAAGACTAGTGCGCACAAAAACTAGTCAATCTTTCTCTTTCAACTCTATACTGACGCAGATGGAACTATAAAAACAAAAAGGAAAATTTGTTAGCATATTTAACAGTTTACTTTCTAGTCAGTACTACGCTTTAGTTACTGTAGTGCATAATGTAGAGTATGCGAGCTATTTCCACAAGACATCTTAAAGCCTATTAATTAAATATAAATACCATTGCTCTGTACTGATCTGTGGTATATTAAATGTAACGGATTCCGTTACAGGAACCCGAATCATGTTGAATATCTCTCTCGGTACTTACACTTTTTAATATGTCTTCTAGGTTCATATTGATGGTCACCCAGATACTGTAACGCCAAATTTTGAAGAAGGGTTACCTATCTTTAATCAACCAAAAACTCCACGACATCTTACGCAGCTGATGCAGTCGAACGATGATTTTATAATGGCAAGTAATCATTTTGAAATAAAAAAGATATCCCATCCATGATATACGATTTTAATCTTATACTCAATTAAAAACATGAACCCTCACAATCAGACGATTGGGGTCCTTCTACGGTTAATTTGTTCTTTGATAACTGAAGACAACCCATACCACGTTTAAGCGGAGACAGAAACGGCACTTGACCCCAGACAGGTCGTACACCCTAAAGCCAACCCACATTACTTACGCCAGTAACCTGGCCATTTCACTCGAAATGAACCGACGTCTTACAAGTTAGAAATGAGAGGGGAAATCGTCAAGGTTCACATAAAATTGCACCTACGTATGATAAGAGTATGCTTGACCCCTCTTCTCGTTTAAGGAGCTCAAATGGTTAACCACCTTTAGGGAGGCATCTAAATATTACCCATATTGTCAGTAGCTATTCTCAAAATATTAAAGTACACCTTTAATTTCAGTCATCCGTTTATGCAGGATTCATCTCAAGAATGATCTGGATCTATCCATCATGGAACAAAGATTTCGATAACAACCGTGTAACAATGATAGGATTTGGATATGTTTTTGGGCGTACCTTTGAAGATGAACTCCCACTTTGTTATTGTGAAGAATTACTTTCAGAGTCGGATAACATGGGATGTTATCACATTGATACATATGACGAGGAATCCCATCATAAAAAAATACCACGAAGTGACTGTCAAGTAAAACAAATAGTAATGTATGAGGAAATAATCGATTATAAAGCTGAAGAACTCTCACAATCCGATGATTGGATACCTTCAACAGATAATGTGTTTTTTGATATTGACGAAGATTATTATGGGTGTCAAGCTGCTTTCCAATACCTCTTAGATGTGAAAATTACCGAAAAATATGTAGACGATGTACTAGGGCCAGGAATAGAGTCTCTTTTTTGCCCAGGAGATGCTAAGGCTGAACATGCCTTTGATAAGATTTTCTATGATTTGTTAAGACGTGTTACGGACAAACACGGTGTTAAAAAATTACAGGAAAAGGAACGAAACGACATCATCAAGAATACCATTCAATCAATCAAACAACGTAACCTAACGGCCGAACTCTGTAGCGAAACAAACGTTGACGTCGGTATTAACAAACTCATCCTTAATTTAAACGGTTTAAACAAGGATCAGCTACAGGCTTTGGCAAAATTGGGGATATGTTTAAAAACAACATCCAGGACGCCGAGCTTCGATCGTATGAACGGTATGAAATTATGTGACGGTTACAATCGGCCTAATAACGATAGTGCCGTTTTCTTTCATACTCCTAGTTTAGATGAAATAATTGAAAGGACGAAACAGATGGAAAGTATATTAAGAAAACTCCCAGAGCCGAAAATGGTAACTATTTGTCGATCATCGAGAGATGGATATGTTCCTGGTCAGTTTGTATCTAAAATAGAGACAGATATTATTCAGACACTTGTTAAAGTGTTTCCTAATATAACAGGAAGCTCCTTACATTATGATGCTGAATTACATGGTGGAAAACAAGGCTGGCACAAAAGGCACGGGGATATTCCCTGGTAAAAATATTACCGAACAATAAACATTTGCTCAAACCTAAACAGGCAAAGGGTCATTCGAAGTTCATTTTCGTTATTTGCCATTCTTTTTTTAAAATCGATATTCTCTGTCTTATCAGGGTGTCTGGTTAACGGGTAATGCTACCAAGCACTTAAAATAGTTTAACTTTGTTCCACAAATGAACATACATTATTTTTGTTGCAGTAAATATGCGAAAATAACTACTTCCAACAAACGCTGATTGACACCGTGCCATTGTAAGGCTATTTATAACCTTGCGGTAACTACCCGAAAAGTACCATACTTTATGACCTTCTCTATTGGTCATCCGATAAATATAGATACGTTAATATGTGTGAAATGTGATAAAATATGTTTATTCAAAATATACGGACTGGAAATAAAACGTAATTGAAATGTATGCGTAGATAAATAAAACAAATGAAACACAAGTCTAAGGCTAACTAATAAAATAAAAGCGAATGGCAAAAGAATGACGGGCGTCGATTAGATAATGTGCAGTTAGTTAATAATACAATACTTCATATTTTAATGTCTTTGATTATGTTTTATTGGATGTTCATATTCACTGTATATCCTTGTGGGGCCAAACTGAAAAGAGAGAAAGTTGAACGTCCACTCGAAACAAACTAGATCATTTCGGGACTAACATATAGTTCAATTTTATTTCAATAGTATATTTATTTAGTAGTATAAAGACCAGGATAGGCGACACTGCTCCTTGCCAGATACAAGCGCGGAATCAAACCCACGCCACTTGACTAAATGACAGACTTTCTGATGGGGATCACGTGGGTACGACGCTGGCTCGCTAGCCTGGAGATCGGGTGTTTGATCCCTGCATTGGCCGAGAAAGTTCGTCCAGATTTTCCAGCGTGGTTTCCTCTTGTCAGTGATGCAGGACGGAGGGCCTGACAAGGACAGCTATCTAGTCGTTCGGATGGGACGAAATCGAGGTCTCGCGTACACATTGGCGTGCACGTAAAAGATCCCTTGGCAGTTGGAATTCGATATAAGAGTAGGCCGTAGTGTCGCTGCCCGGGAATAATTTCCCTCATAGCACACTGTATGGCGTATGCCCGTCTTCATTAGCCCAGGTTAAGAGCAGAACAGTAGGATGTTAAACCCCATTTCATTTCATTTCAAGACTTTCTGATCTAATGCGCACGCGTTTTCCACCGCCACCCAAATGCAGTATAGCGTACCTAATCAGGGAGGAGTCGCGCTGGCTCAGTCAGTAAGACGCTGGCTCGCTAACCTGGTGATTCCGTGTTCGATTCCGGTGTTAGCCGAAGTTCATATGGATTTTTTCGCGGCGTGGTAAGACGGAGGGTCTGGTAAAGGGCAATATATAGTCATTCTGGGGGTATGAAAACCTAGGGTCCCGTGTACACGTAAAAGAACCCTCGAAAGTTAGGATTCGATGTAAGAGTAGACCGAAATGGGGCCACTGATCAAGCAACATTTCCTAGTAACGACCACTGCATGGCGTATGCCCGTCTTCAATTGATTACTCATTTCCTAACTTGGGAAGAGTGCAGCACAAACCGAACGGAATCAAAATACAAGAACTGTATATTTTCGCAATGTTTCCGCGATAGGTGTGTACCTACTTAATAGTAGCCGGTCTCCAGAGTAAGTCATATTATAAATCTTAATTACAATAATCATACATATTTGATTTTTATGTACAAATATATAGCCGATGCAAAGACATATTTGATTTTTATGTATAATTAACGGTAAATCTCTTTGATCTTTGGGGTATATTCTATGCCCGGAATAACTTGCGGTCTGAATATATACAGGGAAATTTGGGGTTATTCTTCTGAAAGTTTTTCTTTAAACCTGTACCGGGCTATTCTTCCAGGGTAGGTTTTTTTCCATAAGAAAACGTGATATAAGGTTTTTCTTACGGGAATTCTGGGATATTCTCATCTTGCGTACATGTAAACATAGACGGTTTATAAGCAAGTTAAAGTCCTCGACTTCGGTTATGCTGGGAAAGAAAGACCTTAGAAAAAAACCCTCGACAGAAAAGCCCTGATCGGTTTGCCGGCCTCGGTTTTTCTTTTTCTCTTTCTCGGGTTATTTTCTTCAGTCTTTCTTCCCCCAGCATAACCCCAGTCTCGTGCTTTATTCTTCACATATAGCCATTACAAAAGCTGAATGATACATTTACATTTAATAAAAACTGTCAAAATTGAAAAGAAAATGGACGGAGAACTTGGAAATGTTTTCGGAAAACCACAATATCTTTACATCGGAATGCGTGGATCGCTAACTGTCGATAGGATTCGTTCTCTCATGACCCCGATACTAACCATCAAATTGGGTGTCAATCCGTTAAAGTATTTAGCCATTAACGCGTTTTAATTGTTTTTCGGAAAATGGAATAACTCCGGAACGAAGGCTTGCGAAACGCAGATAATCGACCACTACCACATTCACAAAGTTTCCGTAAGGTTCGTTCTCTCATGGTACCAATTCCTTGGTTGTACGTGACAAGGAGTTAGGTCGCCTGTCCAACCCCGTTGGTTTTCTCCGGGTCCTCCGGTTACCTCCCATGCTAAAAACCCCTACGTGAATTAATGAAAAAAAATTGAACCATATTTGTGTCGTGTGGACGTTAAACCCCATTTTTCTCACTTTCTTTCGCTTCCTACATAACAATGTCACGTGACAATATGGCGGATAAAGGCGTTCTTTGATTACGTGTTGTTTGTTTTGATTTTTAAAATCAGCGTGTACCATTACAAGGCGAAAAACGAAAGCTAAATAATACGGCAATCTGTATTTATGGGAAAAGAAGAATAAATTTTCCCCTATTCAAAAAAAGATGACTGGATATTTATTGAATGGAAAGTTAATTTTTTATGAACAAAGATCTTCTCGTCACATATCTGTATTATGTATGATACTACTTGTGGCATATGCTCGTCAAAAATCGAAGTTTGTGTTTTATACATTTTTTTTTATAAAATTGTAAGATATGTTTTACATGAATGAATAAAATAAAGAACTAGCGGCTGCCAAGCAGGATACGCCCACATTTTCGAGAGATGGATAGAGAACAATCTAAAAAGAAAGTGATTTTTCCTACAATCAAGGGCCATAATTCAGGAAATTACAATTCTATATGCGCAAATATCGAAAGGAACCGAGATCTTTGGGTTATAAACTTACATTTTAAGTTTCAACAAAATCGGATAAAAATTGTGACCTCTATACGGTCCACAACCTTGATATACCATATTTTTTTACCCTATTTGCGAACGATGGGCGGCCATTTTGTCAGTCAGTTTTGGTCCGATTTTCACGAAATTCGAAATCAGCTATCCTTAGGGTGTAACGGTGATATACTAAAACGTTTTTTTAAATCGAATAAAAATTATGACCTCTATAGGGTCCACAAGCTAAAATCGCGATTTTTCGTACAATCAGGGGCCATAATTCAGGAAGTTACATTCCGAAATGCACGAATATCGAAAGGAACCGAGATCTTTGGGTTATAAACTTACATTTCAAGTTTCATCAAAATAGGATTAAAATTGTGCCCTCTATAGGGTCAACAACCTTGATATACCATATTTTTAAGCTATTTGAGAACGAAGGGTGGACATTTTTTCTGTCAGTTTTGGGCTGAGTTTCACGAAATTCGAACTCAGCCGTCCTTAGGGTGTAATGGTGATATAATAATACTTTTTTTTTAAATCGGATAAAAATTATGACCTCTATAGGGTCCACAAGCTAAAAAAACACGAGTTTTCGTAAAATCAGGGGCCATAATTCAGGAAGTTACGGTTCGATATGCTCGAATATCGAAAGGAAACACGATCTTTGGGTTATAAACTTACATTTCAAGTGATAACGGTGATATACTAAAACGTTTTTTTAAATCGAATAAAAATTGTGACCTCTATAGTGTCCACAAGCTAAAAACGTGATTTTTCGTACAAACAGGGGCCATAATCCATGAAGTTTCGATCCGATACATGCCAATATCGAAAGCAGCCGAGATCTTTTGGAGATAAACCTATATTTCAAGTTTCGTCAAAATCGGATAAGAATTGTGACCTGTAGAGTTTCCACAAACAAATTGTGGACGGACGGACAAACAGGGACGACGGCAATATACGTCCACAAGAAAATGTGGGCGTATAAAAATAGTTATAATGCATGATTTTATTGAAACTGGGGTGGTTCCTATTCTTTTGGTTTTACTTTTCGAAATCACATAATTTTTAAAATTTTATTTCGAATTGCTTTTTATATTTATTTACAGAGGTTAAAAGTTTTATACGTAAATATTCTATTTGTTTTTTTATTATGGATTTGCTCATATCCGTTCTACTTCTACTGCATAACTGGAGGTTGTAATCATTTATTTAGCACCTACTTGTTAAACCGTTGAAAGATTCAAAGTTTGCATTTTAAGAGAGTGTAGGTCAAACATGCGGCTGGCAGTGTGTATGGGGTATTTAAGATGAATATTATTCCCCACTTTGTCGTTCTAAGGTTATAACAATATAATTTAAATGTGAAATAAGACAAACTAATGGTGAAATGGAATTAATAAAAGTAATATCACTTTTGTTATGTTTTGGACAATAAGTTTTCTGGTTAGAATTTATCCTGAAACACCTAAGCGCGCGTGAAAATTTCCAGTCATACCTGAATGGTTCGGTATTTTAAACTGACAATAAAAGCTGTTTAATCCCCCAATCCAATCCCCTAATTTACTGTGTACCCCAACTCCATTCATTCAAGAACGATCACATAGCAAAACGGTGTTCAGTGCTGATCACCTAAATTATCAAATGATCTTCTACAAAGCAGTAACTGAGGAAGCCGTTGTATTCAGATATACCTTTATATTTTTCTCTTGCATATTTTATTTTTCATATAAAAACCATTAATACCCCATCTTAGCATCGTGTATGACAGTTTGTATCAAAATAATCATTTATTTGCGGTTATATTTAAATTTGTAAAATACGTATTCTTTTTTAATATATTTTAAAAAAAATAATAACTTAAATACAACAGAAGAAACAAGTACTGTATGTTTTGTGATTTGAACAATTAGAATTTGCTGCACTGAAAAAAAAACTTTTCAACAAGAAATTGTTATACTTTTAGTGATTTGTAGGGTGTCCAGTCCCAACATTGTTGTACTGTTTTAAATTGTAGATTCTATTTGTTTTATTTTATTCATTTATGTAAAACATATCTATTACAATTTTATAAACAAATGTATAAAACACGGACTGCTAATAATTATCTTTAATAAAAAAAACTACGTTTAGTAAACGAGGCATTTTTACTCAGCCTCGTTCTGGACAAAATACCCCGTCCCAAAAACATGTCAATTTAAAAAAAAAACGTTTTGGAACTCTAGACAAACTTTGCATTTTTTTACCACGTTACAACATGGCAAAATTGTGGCAAATATTTTACCACGTTTGGACAAAAATGCCGAACGAGGTGTTCTGAGGTTTATAGTGTAAGCATGAAACGACCTTTATTTTAAATGAAATGAAATGGGGTTTAACGTGCTTCTTATCTGCTTCTGCTGGGCTAATACAGTTTGCCATCAGAGTATTTTATCAAGGACAGCAGCACTACCGACTACTCTTATTTCGAATTCCGACTGTAATAGTAAGTGCAGGGGGACTGCACCACACATAATTTACACAAAAACAAATATACAGACAAGACATATTACGCAGAACTCACAAACAAACGTACAATTCAAATAAAGTGAATGGATCCAGCCTTTCTTGCAACCTACGGTTAGCAGTATAACCAGGGCTATATCTCATTCAGATATCAGATACCCCCCCCCCCCCTCGTTATTCATAAAACTTAAACTAATAGCTAAAAAATAGTTATAAGGTTGAGGCCCTTCCATATGCGATCCCTGCAATAGCAATACAATGATCAGTTTCCTTATTAGCGCTTGATGTCAGCAAAAAATGCTGACTACTGAAGCAGAAAATAATTATGTTCCGTAAGGTGACAAATAGATGCATTTTAATAGCCGCTGTTTTTTTAGATGGTATTAAGTTATGAATAATGTTCTATAAATCTCTATATTTTTCATTCTCACTCAATTAGAATCAAAGTTGTCAAGCTCCAAAGTCTAAACCAATCATATGTTTTAAGTTT